AATTGTCAAAATATAAGCAATTTTCCAATTAAAATACATACCCTATAATCAAAAGATATAGGGCAAGGGCTCTCCTCCTGTCTACTCGCACTGAGAAACAGGAAGAGGAAAATAGATTTAATACATTTGAAGAGAGGATGTATATTTCAACGGTGTATATATACACTACTATAACTGTCTACCATATTCTCTCTCTGGCTGCGTGTGTGTCTCGACAACGGATTAATAAAAGAAGTGTACAAACTTCTTGGTTACAGAAACATGGTGTATTTATATTATGAGGTTATTTACTTACCCATGATGTAAAAAAAAATAGCTCTGAATAAACAACAACTGAGCAGAAGCGACCTCCGCGAAGAATACGCGTCTGGTGTGAACAGGCAGGCGCCGGACCGCGCGTGATTTTCCGTTCCGCGTCGCTTCAGCGTCCGGTGTGAACCCGGCGTAAGGCCTGATGTATAAAATAATAATCCAGAAAATAGATGTAATCATCTAGTCTATTGAGTCTTTTGACGATATATATAGCATGTATAATAATGTAAAAACATTATAATGAACAATAATTTAAATTAAAAAACATATATGATAGCAAAAACATTGTTGTAGTGAAGATTTTAATAATGATAGAGCAAGCTGCATGTATTAAAAAATACATATCAGTTCCCAATCTAAATACAAAATAATACTTTTTTGATATTGTGATGGGCATAGTATATTTAAAAATACCTACTGTGTAATTTAGTACATTTTCAATGTGATTTTTCTATAAGCAATGAAATATACCTAATGTCTATAAGTTGCTTAAATACACTTAATATTCATTTTGAGATATCAATATATTGCAATACTTTGTCTGGGTTTCATTGCCAGCAAAAAGTGAAATAATAAATATGCCAGTATACATATTCCAATAAATATGGAAATAATATTAAAAGTTCTTCTACTTTCTGAAGAGCATGCATAATCCACCAGGGGGCAGAAGATATGTAGTAGGTCATATAAAAAGGTTATTTTGGAAAAGCATTGGTCAAATGTATGATGTAGAGGTCTTAGAAAGCCATGTATCAAATTTAATTAATATGGGTTAATTTATAGGGTTAATGACATCAGCTCAAATGGCTCGATTCCCAGGAAATTGCATCAACTAATAATGTACACCTTGAATACAATGTACGTCACTTTGGATAAAGGTGTCTGCCACATGCGTAAATGCAAACGGGGCTCAGAGTGTCTAATGAATCTCTTATTTGTTCCTAAGTACTTGGTGACCAAAAGAGGTCTGTGACTTTCACTGAGAGCCAGCAGGAAGCAGCTGTCAGATCTCCCACTGCCACTGTCAGCCCCAGCAGTGGCCTAGCAGGGGTCACAGAGGTCGGGAAGCTGAGCCATGACTCTCCCTCCACCGCATCTGAGTCCTCATCACCTAGAATCAAACCTGCCCAGCACAAACCAGCATTGCCACAGGTCTGATTAAGAACAGTGTTCAAATGAAAGCTTGCAGAGTTGTTGGGTTACACACATTCTTAGTTTAAAATGACACGTTCAAAAGCTCTAGTTTGAAATATAAATGAAAAGTTTGGGTGCATTAAGTGAACTTGACCAGGGTTGGAAATTAACAGTAGCTTGGAGTAAAAGTGGCATAAAATGTCCCCCAAATTCAAGAAAAACTGCATCTGCTCAATTATGGGCCCTACTAAATCTATTGAGTGTTGCAATAAAGCGAAATGTGAAAATGAATTAAATGAAATCATAAACGACAGAGTGCCGATTACAATGCAAGTAAGTGATTCATTTTGCAGTGTAGGCAGCTTTAGTGATGTAATGGGAGTTTTCGCAGAGCATGCATAACTGAAATCATGCTTTCTATACAATAATTTATTCCCAGTTATGTAATGACCGTTATGTTTTTTCATGCTACTGAAATAACCAATGTGAAGTCTTGATTTTCTAAAAATGGTTCTTTAACTTGTTTTGTCAATGTAGCCAGAATATGTTCCCACACACTAAAAGATTCTTAATGTATTCTATTAATCAACATTATTACAATATATCAAGAGCAATAATCGACAATAATGTTTTTGACATCATATTCACCAGAGGCCCCATGATACGATATTATCACTATACTTAAGCCACGATACGACATTATTGTGATTTTAAACATTTTGTGCTATGCTGATAACATATTGCAATATATTACTCTTTTTTTTTTTGACTGTAGAGTGTCCTCAAAAAATCCCTTCGGAAAATAAGTTTTGGAAAATGTGGGGAGAATTCCCTTTTTAATTTCAGGGGGAGGTGAGGGGGACATGTTTCAGACATAATAATTATTATTATTATTATTTATTTATTTTTAATTACAGTTATCTCACCTAAATGTTTAATCATCATGTTTCTGACTCTTGTGGAATTATTCTGATTTTAAAATGGAATGTATACCTCTAAATTAAACGGCTTACAAACCACTTGCTCTATTTTGACTGTAGGTCTTTCACTATGAGAATAAAGAAAGGAAAGATCAGGAGAGTGTAAGAAGCAGTCTGTCTCCCACCCCCTCTGCCGCCTCCAGCTCCGCTTCTAGAGCCTGCTCCCCTCTTCCTCCCCCCCTCCCTGTCCTGAGTACACCGTCCCGGCTGGTCCCAACACAGATCAGAGAAAGTCCGGAGGATGAGGAGACCTCTCGGCTTCTGCAAAACACTGACGCCTCCAATAGTAGGGAAGAGGACCGTGGCACGGAGAACCCACTCCTGACCTCGCTGCTCACACCCCATGCCCTCTCTCCGCTCCTCCTGTCCCCTGTTGACCTGGATCTGGACGAGTCTCACGTCTGAGAATGTCCAGCTTCGGGATGCAACAGTGCAATACTGTGCTCGTGTAACAGGAAGTGGCAGGGCTCTCCTGTGTTCAGATTTCTTGAATAACTTGAATTTTTCATAATAACATAATAAGCTGATGTGCCATGCTTTGCAATCAATAGAAGTATTTATGAAGCACTGTGCTTAAAGGGATAGTTAACCCAAAAATTATTTATGGGATTTACCCATACTATGGATGTCAGTGGGATCCATCAACTGTTTGGTTACCCATATTCTTCAAAATATCATCTTTTGTGTTCAGCAGAAGAGAGAATTTTATACAGGTTTGTTACAACTTGAGGGTGAATAAATGATGACAGAATCTTTAGTTTTGGGTGAACTATCCCTTTAATTCCACCCATCAATGAAAGCTGATTAACCTGTGTTGTACCATTTAGTCTTTAGTGAGATAAATTACATTTTAAATGAAATAAGATGAAGTATTCTTTGAAAATCATATATTAATAATCATATATTAACAACAGAAACTCATTGTGTAATTATATAGATGTATTCTAAATATGTGTCATCTCTTTAAATATTTATTTAGAGGATTATATGAAAATTAGATATTTAGAATAAATATTATAAATGCTTTATTTTCAGAAAAAGAAGATGCTTGTATAATATTGATACCAAGTTTGTTGCCAAATATTTGTTTGCAAAGACACATTTTCAAAGAGACATAAGGAAAAAAGCAATTCAATATAAAGTATTTCAATAAAATAAAATAAATATATTTAAATAGAACAATTCTAAGCATCTTCCCAGCCGTTGTCCTGATTATGTTAGTGTCGATTCCGTTGTTCTTTGAAGCCCAATTCAACTTTGGTTACACTTTATTTTAAGTTGATGTTGTTATATTGTAATTACTCACTCAAATAAGTACTGAGTGATATTAATTAACTACATGTACTTACTATAGTGTTATGGTTTGGTTTAGAGGTAGTTACTTGTAATTATGCATAATTTACTGTTATTACTATACTAAGTACCTTAAAATAAAGTGTTACCTCAACTTTTGCATAATCTGACAATAAAATACAGTGTAACCTTTTTTTCAGATACCTTACAAATTCTTCTACATAACGTTCAATGTTAAAATAGTAACTTAATTCACTGAATGTCTCACACTGTGTTTCTGTGTGTGCTGCTTTGTGGGTATATTGTTTTTCGTCTAATGTGTTGCTGCTATCTGTTGGATTTGTTCAATAATAAAAAAAAAAATCATGACATGTTGGTGTTGTCTTGTTGGTAATTAGTAGAATTACTAAATTAATTGTATTTGTTGGATTTGGGAAAGAGTAATACTGACTTGTGATTCTTTTTTGGTAACACTACAATAAGGTTTCATTTGTTAATGTATTTACTAACGTGAACCATACATTTGTTACTGTATATGTTCATCTTTGTTAATTTTATAGTTGTTAATTATTTGTTTGTTACTTCACAGTGCATTAATGTACATACAAATTTTGATTTTTATAATGTATTAGTTAATGTGAAATTAACATTAACAACGAATAATAAATGCTGTAGAAGTGCAGTTCATTATTAGGTCATGTTAACTAATGTAGTTAACATTGTTAAAGGGGTGATGAACTGAGAAATCAAATTTTCCTTGAGCTTTTGACATCTAAGAGGTCATCAAATTATAAGAATATCCTGTAAGTTTCAGAACTGAAAACGTCCTTGTTAGTCCAATAAAAGCTTTTATTGACACCAGGCTCAGCAAACGACTAGTTTTTCAAAGTGGGGAACTATGACGACAGAGGATCAAACACCACCCCCGCAGAAGATCAACGCCTACTTCAACACGGCCGGTTTAGCCCCGCCCACCGATTCGCGTAATATGCAAAACTGTAATCCACTCACAGCAATGGGCGTTTACTTCCAAGTCTTCAATGCGAGACGCCCATAAAAACCGAGCGTTTTTGAGCTAGGCTCAAAACTAGGGTAGAAAATAGCCTATTACTTATTCATTTTGATGTTTTTGAATGTAAAAAACCAAGCGAACGTCATAAGTTGACCTCAGACAACAATATAAAACAATTTAAAAAGCCAGTTCATGACCCCTTTAACTAATGAAACCTTATTGTAAAGTTTTCCCAATTTTTTTTTATTCAAAAGAACTAGACACATGAGGGCAATGCAAAACAATTTATTAGCAGAAAATAGGCAATTCTTGGAATGTAACTATCAGTAAGTTTTACTTGTTGGCCACAAATGTCTCGAGGACTTTAAAGAGCCTTTCATCTCTAGCATCAGCTTCTCTTTCTCTCCTCTCCTCTCTTTCTCTCCATTCCCTTTCCTGCCGTTCTTCTCTAGCCAGCATCTCTTTCTCCCACCGGTCCTCTCTGGCAAACATTTCCCGTTCCCTCCTCTCCTCCCTCTCCAGCGCCTGTCCCTCTCTCATTTCTTCTCTCTCTACAGCCCTTCGATCTCTTTCCACCTCTCTCTCTGCAGCCCGTCGGTCTCGCTCTTCTTCTCTCGCTGCAGCCCGTCTGTCTCGCTCATCCTCCCACTCCACCGCTTGCCTCTCTCGTTCCTCCTGTCTCCTTTCCATCTCCCGCAGGATTATCAACCAATCCTCTTCCTTTCTCTGCTTGATGGGAGGAGCGTCCTGAGCAAACGAGGACACTTGGTCCGGCTTGATGAAATGGTTGAGGGGGATCTCGCCACTCAGTGCACCATCCATGATTGCATACCACTTCCAGGTTGCAATTGCTGTGTCTCCTCCCACCATACTGAGGCTTTTGAGGTCCTGCAAGAAATAATCAAAGACAAATGAATTGCAGGTACATGTACCATGTTATTAGAAATGTACTCTTTGTATTCAGGTTTTATATGGTTTTGAAAAACTTACTTAAATTATTTTTAAGATGATATTGATGCAAAGTTTGTTGTCAAATATTTGTTTGACACTAAAACTCTGAAAACTTCAATTTTTTCCTCACACAGAAATTATATCTATCCACGATACATATTGTTGCAGTTTTGTATTGCGAGCGATACAATATATTGTTACACCCCTATGTTTAAATACGTTTTTTTTAATAGTTTACATATTTTATAATTTTTGCAATTATCATGGATTATTTTTTATAAATAAATTAATAAATAGAGGGACTTGCAGCACATGACATTTTACAACCAAAACTACCAACCTTACCTTCTCTATTAAGAGAATTACTGACCTTGGCACTGACACTCTACTACATAATTTAATGTGTATTTATTTATTTATATTTGCATGTTTGGTTGTGGTTGTACCTTATGATTTTGATTTAGCAAACTTTTTAAAATAATAATAACTTCGTTTGAAAAAAAATTATAAGATTTTCTTATCAATCATTTTTTCATTTCAATAAAGTTTTTTAAAGACTTCACACACCCATAGATCCAGACAAAAATGTCATGTCATTTAACAGTTACCTTCCAAACAAGCTAAAAAATTAAAGCATGTCATCACCTTATACTTTTGTTTTAGATTCTCCCACTTCTTTCGAACCCATGCAGGGGTCACTTTTCCTTCCAGCTGTTTCTCTTTCACATACAGCCTGTAGATTGACAGATTAACCGCATCAAATAAGTAAGAAGAAGGCATAACAGCACTCAGTAAAGTCAGGACTGGTTTTACTCACTCAAAGGCTTTAATGGCTGCATTTCTTCTGCCTGTAAACAGACCGTTGTTTCTGACTCTCCACACAATCAGATCTGCCGTGTTGGCATCAGTCCCTAAATGCATAGAGACGACTGGTAACGATATTTTGCCTTTTACCACTACTTGAAAGGGGAATTAATCACATGCATTGACAATTTCATGATATCAGCATGTTGTTATTGTTGAAGCATTACGTTTTTTGGAAGTAAAGAAATCAGGCTAATCATAAACCGATACATTTTGACATAAAAAACGTGCTACTTGCATTTAAAGACTCCTTCTTCCGAACCCATTTTATTTGTTTGTTTTGTTTAGCATTGTTTTCTTCTGCTGTTCTTTCTCTCTTGTGGGTGAGAATGAATTACACCGCATTAGCGCCCCCTGTCTTCAATTGCAACAGGCTTGTTTTAGTTGGTTGTTTTTTTCCGTGACTGATTTCAAATAAATCACAATTAAAAAAAAAACTATATAATATGTTACTTGGGCACGATTCGAAAACGATTTTAATTATTTATGCGTTTAATGTCAAAGTAAGGAGAAAAGTGGTTTAATGAGACATCAGCTGAGGATTTTCTCCAGCAGGGGCGCTGTAGTGGTTACGACTGTAGGAAGTGACGCGAGTAGGAACAACTAACGTTAGCAGCGCTTGAAAGAAAGTGTGTAGTCACCGTGTGTTACCCGTTCTGCAACTATATTTTCAGCATAACAAAATCAAATATTTCAAATAGTTCTTCGTATTAGTGCTTCCTTTACATTTGTCATCATGGTAAGTGAACACGTTTGAAGAAATAATTGCGTTTGCTGAATGCGATCGGATTTATTAGCACTGTAGCTCATTTGCCTTCTCATCTTTACTGGAAGTTGTTATAAAATAATGTATCCTAACCTGCAAACTATATAGTATTTTTGTATATATATATATGAGCATTCCACACGCACAATAAGCTTTAGTTATATCGAGTGAGTGCTATTATGCTGAATTATTATTATTATTCCCTAGTCATGTTTAAAACGAAACTAACTTAACAGTTGCACTTTGCTGCCTGTGCCAAATATGGATGGTGGATTAATCATGCATAGACGTGCTATATATCATAACTTTTATATTTGTGGGGAAGGGGAAGGGGAAATTCAGTATTTGAACTTTTTTTTTTTTCAAATATGATCATTTATAAACATTTCAGATGTGCAGTTGGATAACAATTGCTGTGTTCCTAGTGGTACAATATTATTTGATCAGAACTACGTTTTAGTATTTAATTCTATATAATAACTGTTTGAAAAAAGTATATGAGTGTATATAAATTGCAGTTTTTAATAATCTTACCATAGTAGTCTTACTGTCTTCTGCCTATAGTCTATTATGTCATATAATGGAGGTGCTGTCATGGCGATGCGGGGAAAGGAATGTGTGGCAATAGCATCAGACCGGAGGTTTGGCATCCAGGCACAGCTGGTTACCACCGACTTCCAGAAGTTATTCCCCATGGGAGATCGACTCTACATCGGACTGGCAGGTCTTGCCACAGATGTACAGACAGTGTAAGAATACAATTTTAGATGCATTATAATCTTATGATTTTAAACAACACTTGTCATTTGACCTTTAATACTTTTTGGCTTTTACCTTTCCCTTTTATTTTAGATCTCAAAGGCTGAAGTTCCGCTTGAACTTGTATGAGCTGAAGGAAGGTCGTCAGATCAAGCCAAAGACCTTCATGAGCATGGTGTCCAATCTTCTGTATGAGAGGAGGTAAATAACACACTTATTTTCTTGCTAGCAACTGTTAAATGTTAAAGTAAAAAGATGACTGTGAAAAAATAGTAGTATTTAATTAAATGCATTTATGGTGAGATTACTACATTTAATTTAATTAAATGCATTTATGATGAAATTCATTGTCATGTCAATCTGTGTTCATTTTGACCACGAACTATGTACTGTCACTTTAATTGAGTGCGTGCAGCACAGCAAAAATAGACTCGGAGCGTAAGCGATCTCTGCACTGCTGTATACGTACCGCTCCTGGAACGGATCGCCGGACAGGCTACACAAATATTGATCTTGACATTGTTAGCCTCTTGTCTTTTTTTTACATGTCTTACACTGTACATTTAACTTAAAATATATAATTTTGTACAAGAAAACTGGCCGTATTAATGAATTATTAGTGTCTCAGGAAATCTTGCTCATTGTCCTCAAAAATCCCTTTATTAGGATACTGATAAAGATAAAGATAATTTTGTGAAATCCAAATAAGCTTTTCAGATCTTTAATAATGGAAAGGGTTTAAACTGTATTTTTCGGACTTGTTCAGTGAGCCATAAACAATTATTGCACATGCACCTGTGGAACGGTCCATAAGACACTAACAGTTTACAGGTGATAATAGACAATTAAAGATCACAATTACAAAAGCTTAAGACACTAAAGAGTCCTTTCTACTGACTCTGAAAAACACCAGAAGAAATGTGTCCACCTGTGTGAACATGCTGCAGATGTGGTCAGAGCAATAAACTGCAACGTCCGTAATCTAAGACGCTAAGACAGTGTTACAGGGAGACAGGAAAGACAGCTGTGTCCTTCCAGTGTTTCCGGATGCACACCAACAGTACACATTTTGTCTGATCTATCCATTTCATTTCTACTAAGGAGCTGATGGGTTGAATCAGGTGTGTTTTGATTAGGAAGAGTTGGAAAATGTGTGCTGTTGGTGTGCTCCAGGCACAGGGAACAGGACACACTTCCCTGATATGTAATGTTTAACACCTTTGTCTTTCTCTGAAATAACATTCCCATGCACACTGTGTACATAATCCCATCCTTTCATGTCCCTTTCTCAGGTTTGGGCCGTACTATATTGAGCCTGTGATTGCTGGTCTAGACCCAAAGACCTTCGAACCCTTCATCTGCTCCCTTGATCTTATTGGATGCCCAATGGTAACAGAAGACTTTGTTGTGAGCGGTACTTGCTCAGAGCAGATGTACGGCATGTGCGAGTCGCTATGGGAACCTGACATGGTAGGTGGAATAGAACCTGTGTGCATCACTGTATTGGACATGAAGGCTGGTTTATGATCTAGACCTGGTAGTCTCATGGACGATGCTGTTGATTGTGTTCTCTAGAAACCAGACGATTTGTTTGAGACCATCTCACAGGCCATGCTGAACGCTGTTGACAGAGACGCAGTGTCTGGAATGGGAGTCGTTGTTCATGTCATGTAAGTGTATCTTTTAATCAACTGACTTTAAACTGCACAAAACGCATTGTGTGTAAAGAAGATTGTCATATTTTTACTGAACTTAAAACAATAAGACTAAATTATTAAATTATTTTATTCACTGTATACACTGGGGGTCAAAAGTTTGGAATATTTAAGATTTGTTATGTTTTTGAAAGAAGTCTCTTCTGCTCACCAAGGCTGCATTTATTTGATAAAAAATAGTAATATTGTAAAATATTATTACAGTTTAAAACAACTGTTTTCTACTTTAATATATTTAAAACATTTATTTATTACTGTGATGGCAAAGCTGAATTTTCAGGATCATTACTCCAGTCTTCAGTGTCACATGATCCTTCAGATATCATTCTAATATTCTGATTTGCTGCTCAAGTAACATTTCTTATTATTGACCATGTTAAAAACAGTTTGTTGCTTTATATTTTGATGGAAACCATGATGCTACCATTTAAAAGTTTAGGGAAAGTAATCTTTTTTCTTCCTTTTTTTGTTGTTGTTAAAAATGGATTTAAAATAAAAATGTATATTTTTATTCAACCAGGACAATTAAATTGATTCAAGTGACAGTAAATACATTTATAATGTTATGAAAGATATGTATTTCAAATAAATGCTGTTCTTTTTAACTTTCTATTCATCAAAGAATTCTGAAAAAAATGATCAGTTTTCACAAAAGATATTAAGGAGCAAATCAATGTTTTCAACATTGATAATAATAACAAGAAACATTATTAATAATTGAGCTCTAAATCAGCATATTAGAATGATTTCTGAAGGATCATGTGACTGAAGACTGGAGTAATGCTTGCTGAAAATTCAGCTTTGCCATCACAATAAATTACTTTAAAAAAAATATTCAAATAGAAAATCTTTTTTAATAAGTATAAGAGACTTATTTATTAACATTAAAAATCTTAGTTATGCCAAAGGTTTGACCCCTGGTGTAAGTAATTTAGTTTGATTTCTTGAAGTGTAGTAATGCATGGGTACAGATTCAGACTATTAAGTGTTTTTGTTTTTACACTTCTAGTTGAGTTCAGTGAGTTAATTGGTGTTTGTGGTTATTTCACAGCGAGAAGGATAAGATAACCACACGCACCCTGAAGGCCAGAATGGACTAGAGAAAACGACTACTGCTGTGTTTCCTGTCCTGCAACCCCTTCTTTGTTTGTACTGAAATAGAATTTGCCCCTTTCCATTTGTCATCATTAAGATTGAATTGTTCAATAAAAAATTCTGATATTTACTCATTTGCTTGTTATGTGGTCAGAGAGACAAAAAGTGGTCTAATTCTATGACGTTTTAAAGTATTGGGACAGATGAGGTAATTCCTGCCAAACTACCAGAAAGGATTTACCAAATAAACAGGGATTGGATTTTTCCCAGAACAATAGTGTCATGAATAATGGAGTTTTATCCTCCTGAGATTGAAAACCAAATTTAGCTGCAGTGTGTACGTGGCCATGGATTTGCAGCGGTCGCTTGGAGACATCCAGTGTAGTCTCAAGATGTTGTTCATCTCAAAAGTCGGGATCACAGTCATTTGACCACTTTATTTGAGATAAAACTTAATAAAACACAGATCATGTAAAAGAATGGAGTCATATAAAAAGATGCACAACAATAAATGAATGCAAATCCTTGTAGTGTGAGTGATAGGGGATGTGAGCTCAATATCGGCTGGCTGGACTGAGTGGCCAATGCAAGCGGCAGTGACACCAGCTGGTCATTTGACTACTTAATCAGGAGAAAAGTTTAAGAACATTTTCAGTTTATAAAATATGCATTATATTTCCAGGCTGTTTTAATTTTGTTGCTGAGGCTTAGTTTATTTTTTTTGCCACAATCAGGAGAAAAACCCAGAGTCTGAGCTTATTTTAAAAAGCTACAAGTAATTGACTCGGTTGTCAGTTCACGTAAAAAAGAAACAGTTTTGTTCTGTTTTCTATAAAGTTTGAAAGTAAAGAACTTACATAAATATTAGAATTGTAACTTGCAGCGTAAAATCAAATAATTATTAGCCCGATAATTGGATCTATCATTATATTCTTTTTTTTTACGGGACAGTTGTAATTTACAACAATTATATATTTATATCTTCAT